GGTGGCCCCGGTGCCGGCTCTGTGGGGAGGGAAGCGGTAACGGCGCCGGGGTGGAGGTGGCCCCACGAGTGGCCTCGGTGCCCAGGGGGTGGGGGGAGAGTGCGCGTGTATGGGGAGCGGCAATGGCTCCGGTGCCCCGGGTGGGGGAAGGACACGGCCGCGGTGCCGGGGCCCCCCGGAGGCCGCTCTCAGCCTTTATGTCGCACCTTGGTTGACGCTCACAGTCACTTGGCGGGCGTGTGCTGTCGTGCGGGTCAAATTTAATGCTCTTTGGTTTAATGGGTACAGGTAAATCAGTCGCGTGAAAACGAAAGAAAAACAAAAGTTGTGGAAGATTCCCTGTTAGCTTAGTACGTTGTAAATCATATCGTTAATAAATTCACAGTCTAGTTACAGTATGTTTCCAGTGAAGTACGTTGTGGGTTTTTTTCCCTGCATTTTTCTTTCGTTAGGGCAGCATTAGAAACTTTGGGGTGGTGCTTCTTTAAAAACAGAAGTTGAATGGGAAGTCTTAAGATGACAGAGACACTTTGTTTTTACAAAAATACTAAGGCTTATGGGTGATGTGTGTGGTGGAATGGATTTATGCTGACCAAATGTAATGGGACAGTTTCTTTCCAATATCCCGTAGGAAACTTTTTTAATCTGGTGTGTGCAAGGCACCATCTTGCATTTACCTCTGAATCTCAGCTTAATTTTTTTTGTGTTAAAAGAAAGTGAAGTAACTTTGAAAGTCTAACTCAATCCACTTGTGTATCTTCATTTATAGCTTTCAGCCAGAGGTCAGCTTCTTACTGTATTTGTTCTTTAAACATGATGCATTTTGGCTGGGGCCTGTTTGCAGCACTGCAATACAAGTAGTAACCACTTGTTGCAATTACTGAAGTGCAGTCTTTTAAAGTTGCTATTTATTTGATAAGAGGTTTCAATTTACTACTAAAAACTTCTATTTACTGTTTTTGAATTGAATGTTAAGTTTTCCTGAAACACTACTTAATTTTTTTTTTCCTTGATACTGTTTCAGTGGAATACTGTTTTAGTAAATGAAGCAGTATTATTAAAAAAAGTGTTTTTCCTTGCTCTTAGTTGCTGTCACTTATAGCTGTCATAAACTTCAGATAAAGACAAAATGTCCTCTAGAGGGAGATATTGATGCTTTAATGTGCTAAAATGTTAGTCACCTTGTTCCAGTTAAACATCTTCATCACTTATCTTGGAAAGGATCTGTGATGATGAATGTATATGTCTTAATTGGAAGCTGTCTTCTGGATCTGTGCTTGGAATTTCATTACAGAGTACAGACCATAGCCTGTAATGTAACACTTGCATAGGTTAAATGAAACATGCTTGTTTTAATTCAAATAGATCTAATTCTGAAGTTAAATGAGTAATCTTTACAAGTTCCGGTATAGTACTCCTGCAGTGGTAGTTGTAGGACCTGCATTTGTGGCATCAATTCTGCAAATGCTTACGTAGATACCGACTTTCATACAGCATTCTCATTTAATGAAGATGCTTTTGAGGGCAGCTTCTTCACTAACCTAAACCAAGAATTTCAGCAGCTGATCTGAAAGTGTTGTGGGTTAAATCACTTTAGCATGATGAGTGCTAACAGCTGGGCGAGGAAACAAAGCAGAAACAAAATGTCCCATTTAATCAATCTTAGCAATTGAAGGGTAGCAGTGCTTTTTGACTATAAACAGCAGAGGTTGAAAGATTATTTTTGCAGACACATCAATTGTTTGAATGTAGTTAACCCTATACTCCACATGCTCTGTCCAAATTTTTGGAAGAAGCTTGGTGGGATTGTTTTGGTGGTGAGTTATTCAGCATGTTGCATATGCAGTCTTAGCGTAAGATTTTTTTCTCACAGACACTTTGAAAAAGTATTGCGCAGCAAACAAGGCATCCGCGCTCTTATTTTTCTGTAAGTAAATGCAAACAGTGAATTCAGTGTAGCTTCTGGCATAAGCCTGTTCTAAAACTAAAGGCTCTGTGGAACTTGCTCTGTGGATATAGTTGGAAAATTTCCTCATACTGCAAGACTGCTGAATGGGTCAAGAATGTATTTACTTTTTTGAATGAACCCCTTCATACTTCTTTCAAGTCATCTGTACTGTTAAGAGAAATAGATACTGTTAGACTGACTCCAGAATAGTCGTAGTATTTGTATTCTTATAAATGTACATACTAAAACATTGCATCATTAATCACCCTCTTTCGTCTGTGTGTGGGGAAGTGCTACTGCAAGTAAGGTTAAAGTGATTTGCAATACTTATGTTGCAAGTTTGTTTTCCTTTTCATGCTCATTTTCATTGTTTTGTGGTATGCAATGCATCTCTGCAAGCATTAAAAATATATGCAAAGTGCTTGGAGGCAAATGGTGTTGCATAATTGAATGTACAGATGTGTTATGATAGAGGAGTAAATTCCATTAATAAACAGGAATAAAAGTTACAGATTTTTTTTTAAAGCATATTTATATCCTTAAGTTACTCAGATTGTAGACTCTGTAATAAATTGTGCTCTGAATAATCAATTCTTTATTGTAGATCATCATTTTGGAGGATTCCAGCACTGAGATTTCTGGAGTGTGCTGTGTCTAGCCATAATGAGTTCGTCACTGGTTGCTTATGATGATTCAGACTCTGAGGCAGAAACTGAAAAGACTGAAGTCCCCAATACTTCTAGCAGACAAACAAGCCTTCCAAGTTCTTCTGTGGATGGTGTTCAATACTTTGCACTTGGTAGTTTGCGTACAAAATCTACATATGAAATGCAGCCTACTAAGAACACTGACAGTTCTGGCACAAGCACTGTTTGTGAAGATCCCCCTGAGCATTATGCACAGAATAATAACACTGATTTGACATCTCCTTATTGTAGGAGGGCATACTCTGGCCATACTGCATTATGTATGTCCTACAAAAACTATGAACAGACGTCAAGCTCTTCAACAAACTCTGGAAATGGCGTTTCCCAGAAGAGAATGCATAAAGACAGTACTACTGCCATAAAAGGAATTAGACCATATATCCCTAAAAGATTGCGTCAAGAAAATTCCAGTATGCCTGAAAAAAAAGAATCTGATCAGAGAGATCGCTCAGATTGTGATGTTAAGCTAGGCACATCAGGAGAGCAGACTTCGAGAAAGATCTCCGAATTAATTAAGCCATATTTGGGATCCAAATATAAATTGACTGAAGTACCCAAAAGCTTAATATTTTACATGTCTAAACACAGCGGCCCTGTTAATGAAATCCAGTGGTGTCCTGTACGAGAACAAAGTCACATGCTTCTCTCTGCTTCTATGGACAAAACAGTCAAGGTAATGTAAAACAAGATGCTTTGCGGACCAATCATCAAACTTAAAAATACTGTATTAAATAATGATCTTCTGGGAATAACATCGTTGCTTGTCTGTGTTTAAGAGTTCCAATGTATTCAGAATTCGAGGAGATGCTTTGAAGTGCAAGACCCTATTATGAACTTGCAGCCTAATCCTTCACTATACTTATAGTCAGTTCCATTATTTTGGAATGTGTTTTTTTTGTGTTAGACATATCAGTGTTTTGGATCTTAACTTAAGAAGTTAGATTTCTACTAGATCATTTCTCGTAATCTGTGTTAATGTTAGGTTTTCATTATTTCCTACTTTAATGTCACAATGGCCGTAAGCACTACAGTCTGGATACAGATTCTGCCTTAAGTCATTAAACAATTGACTGCCAACACTGGAATAATATTTTGAGGAACTTTACCTTTCTGACAGGCCTAAGTGACTACTGCTGGAGGAGGTATGTCAGGTCAGATGGATTTTTCATCTGAACTAGTGTAGCAGGTCTTGCATCCTAGAAAGGTGTCCTGTCATAGTCTAAGGAGTCTTTCCGCTTTAAGTTTGTTTAAAGGGTTAATTGCTCAATACTTAAAGTGTATTTTCCTTCTAGCTTTAGTGAATTTGGCTTCAGTTATTTGTTTGTTAATTTAGTCAGTCCAATGAGTCTTACTTTTATTTTAATAATGGGTAATAAAAATATGTTATGTCTATGCTTTCCCAGATACAGGGCTAATGCCACCTCTGGGTTCAAATAATAGTCTTCCGAAGTGGGTTTACACAGGAACATAGTTTTGACACAAGCGCACAGAAAGTGTTCTTTTTGGTGGAAGGCGTGCTTTATTGTATCTAACATGTATTTAACATAGCAGGTACAACTATTTTAAAACTTGGTTCTAAAATTTAGGGCTTTAAGTAAATCTTAACAAGAGGCAAGAAGAACACCATTTGTATCAGCATACTTCTAAAGTCAAAGGAGAGGAGGGAACTTTAAAGCTAAATTTGAATTCTGATTTCATGTAAGAAAAAATATTCTTAAATTCTTATATTAAAATTGAGGATGTGGGTTTTTTTTAAACTCTTCTGCTGTTCAATTTGTAATGGAGAATTGGGTTTCATTTAGTTTCGCTTATGTATGATTTTTCTTATCTTAGAATTTTTTTTGCGTTCCTTTCCTCTTTCCCCAGTTTTGCCATGGGGCCCTGTGAAATATATGCTGACTTTGCATCTTTAAAGCAGTGATGTTCTTGAATCTTGTACAGAGTTTTTGCTTTTTTCTCCTAATGTCTATTAAAGCAGTGATGCTCACAGAAGAGAAAACCCAAGATCTATATAATGAATAAAATTTACTCATCTCAATTGCTTATCTTTTATTCTCTTAAGTTATAATAACTTCACTGGTTCTGTAGTCAGCATAACCTATCACACCATCAAAGTCTGAATACTTTGAACTGTGGGTAATTCCTCCTTCTTCTTTCCCAAGCTTTTTTACATCTTTTTCTTAAAGATTAAATGGAAGAAAAAAGTACCTTTGTTTTTCTTTGCAAGTGTTCTTTAATATATTGAATAAGTTAAATCTTGGCTGCTACTTGAAGAACAGACCTAGAAGGAAAAGACTAATATATGCAAAAAGTGCTGATGGATGTTTTTGGTAAGCAGCAATTTAAATTTGGATTGTACGAAACTATATGCACCTCTGACTTCAGTATGTCTGAATTTGACTTTTTGTCTCAAACTGTCACACCATATGCTTAATGTTTGTTTACAATCCCAGAGCCTCATTTTACTGTTGAGTGAAATTATGGATGTGTTAAATTTGGTAAAACAATCTAAAATCAAAGTTGTTATTGCAATGTAAAATTATTAAAAAATGGAAATAATAGCCTGTCTGTTTTGTCTTCTAAGCAGAAAGAAAGATTACTTTATTTTTCTAAAGTACTGTTACCACCCCTGATTGGAAGCAGTCTTTAACAGTAAAGCTGTTTTTTTGAAGAAATCTAATTGCTTTAGGTGCCCAAACCATGGAAATTCATATAAATAGAGTATGTTAATGTTGGCAACACTTCAGAGCATGCGAGTCTAAAACATTAATAAAGTAATAATGTAACTGTTACAAGTATATTAAAACACAGTTCCATATCTTGGAAGGTAGCCTGTAGAGAAATACCTATGAATGCTTCTTACTGTTATTTCTTAATGAAAGCAAAGACTGTAATGGTATGAGCAGTAGCATCTTTATAAAGTTTGCACCTTTACACAAGTACCTTTCAGGCCAGTAGAGGGCATGGTTAGATTAAGTATTGACTTGATGTTATGAAACTGATTTCACTAACTTTCTAGGGTCAAGAGCCCATAAATCTGTAATGACTATGACAGCAGTAGTTTATCTTCTGGGTATTTTTTGGCTGTCTATCACTGCCTGAAGTTCTCCATTTTCTGGTGCGAGCATAAAACAACTGATTGAAAATGCAGACGTAGATGTACTTTTTTTTTTCCGATCCTGTAGCTTCCCACAGCTTACCTTTTTTGTTGTTTTCGTCCAAAAACGCCTGCTTGGAATTGCTAGTTTAAATCCAGGCAGTGGAAGCATGTTCTCTTTTCCTTCAATGGGAATATGCACACACTCAGGATGTTTGCACTATTTACTTTGAACATCTGATTCAGATAAAACTCAAAGCACAGTTAGAAGCCTAAAATCCCTGTATGATCAGAGAGAGTAGGCAATCTAGAGCCTCAAAACTGTACTTTCAGTTAGTCATGTGAATAACTGTGACTGAATATTTTTATGTGTAAATATCTTGGATTCAGTCCTTATATTCAGCCTATGCATTAAGACATTTATCTTTTGAAGAGTCCAGTATTAGTGGATACTTCTCAGAATTGAGAGTTCTGTCTAAGCAGATTTGACTGACTGTGGTAGTATAAGTTGTACTTAAATGAAAAGATCTATAGTCATATGCAATTTTTGTAGTATTAAGCAAAACAGTTTTGCATCTTTTACCTCTTCTTATGTGCTTAAATATTTTCCTCTTAAATTTTTCATCACAAACTAAGAATTTCCCTTTCTGTGAAAAGATCCCCCCCCCCCATGGAGAAGGAAAAAATACTCAGTTTAGTTATCTTAATTTGGTGATCTTAATTTCTTTATTCCCATCTAAGACTAAATCGTCCATATCACACAGGGATATATCTGAAATGTATATATAGAATTGATCATGTGGTTTCTTACTTTTTAAGTGTGTGTGTGTATCCTGTTTAAATCGGGGGAAGAGAACAGTCTTCCTTTTATGTTCTCGCAGATTAACCAACATGCACTTTACCATCTTCTTTATGAATTAGTGTAAGTCATATTAAAATGTTTGCAAAAAATGAGTTGATGTTTTCAGTTTGTATTGACTGAAGGACAGCCTAGTGTCAGGAAAGATCATCTGAAGCAGTTTGTATAAGTATCTTGCATATTTAGGAAGGAATGCACTGTTTCAGAGGATTTAATATTTTTCATTAAAAGTATTTGCTCTTAATTTTTTGTGTATGGCTGCATTTAGAAAAACCCAAACAGTTATCAAGTGGTGCAGTCGAAAAAAATCAGTTGTCAGCTCAGGGGTGTAATTCTCTAGAGTAACAGTTCTACCAGCAGATGGGGCTCCTCAGCATCTTAGGGAGGGATGGTAACTAAACTGTGCCCCTAAAGACTGGAAGGCTTTAATGTTTGCCTCCATGTTGTGCGTTGAAAGACCAAAATTAAAAGTTTATGCGTGTGCTGCAAAACATATAAGAAAACTTCAGAGACTTGAAAATAAGATAGAACCCCATATGGGAAGTGATATGTATTGCAGATTAATTACCCACAGTTCTTCAAATCTGGAGCATTAATTTTAAATTTGTAAGGAATGAGAAAAATTCCTATTTAAATTTTAAATTTGTAAGGAATTTTAATTTAAAATTTTAAATCTGTAAGGAATGGGGGAAAAAAAGCTTAGATTTAGGCTTTGGCAAGTCTTTTATCTTCTGTTTTCTTAGGATTTTGGAAGGGGAAGCTGATAGTACTTCCAGCCTAGGTAGCCAGAGAAAGGGGCAGGAAACCTGTTTCAAGTTAGGGAAAGTACTGTTGGAAGCTCTTACTGTGGCAGTGCTCTTCTTCACTATTACATTCTAACTGTATTATCAGTGGCTTATGTTTCTAGTTAAAGTACGTATTTTAAGGATTGTGAAACATGATTGCCTGAACTGATTAAATTTGTTTTCTTTGGGTAACACTTCTCTACCTTCTGTTTGAATAGCTGCTGTAAATGAAATTTTGGCTACTACTGCCATTTTTGGTTTTGCCTACTTAAACACTGAAATAGTGTTTGTGATTTTACTATCTCGTCTAGTATTTTTTGCATAAATTTTGAGACTCAGCACCGTTATTAAAGGTGCCTAGTTTCCATAGTGTGGATATTCAACACTTTCTGAATATCAGACTTTGGCTAGGTATTTCTGGTTTAGAACCCCAAATATAGAATCCAAAATCGCCAGGTTACCATTGAATATGCTCGTTTACCTTAGGTAGCAGGGTAGATAAAAAGTTGTCTCTTGAAAGACATGTTTGCCAATTGCAGAAACCGCTATGCGGCATTCACATTGTTAGTGTCTTTTATTTGGAAAACCTTGGAATTGCATAGGGCCACAGAGATGTAAACATTTTCACTAGTTACTTATGCTGGACTTAGCTTTTTAACAATTGTTCATAACTTCAAGCCTCCCATACTATTATTCTGTATTTCCTATTTTGTCTTAAAATTAACTCAAGGTAACATCTTTATATAATCATCTGTAAACTTCTAATTCTGTGTTCCTGGTTTTCTATTTAGAGCATCACAGCAGGTACTCTATTTGTTGCAGAGTATTTCTTCATTTTCAGCACTTCCACCCTCCATTGATGAACAGGATCAAGGAAAGAAAGTACTGTGATTCTTCGGTATGCAAAATGTGTATTAACAGCACTTTGATGG